TTATATATATCATACCAAGACTACTTCACAAAAAACAAATATAAAAACATTTTATTACTGGTGCAATTGCTGTAAAAAACTTATTTCAAAATATTAAAAGCATAGTGATATTTCTAAACAATGAAATATAGAATCATATTTAATTCGATATGCATGCGAAGGTCTTCTTTTAATCGCAATTGATCTTGCAAATAATCAAAATATTAAACTTAGCCACAAACATCTTCATCAACGACCAATGCATATCTCTGTATCAGAACAAGTTAAACAATATATACATGAGAATTTAGTATTTAAAGCATCAGAATTACACTGTGAAATTATATCAAAAAAACTTGATAGATTTGAAACTTTAACGATCGATCAGGTTTATTTTTGGTGAGCACATGAAGCATCAAAATATTATCGATGGCATGAAGATCAATACCAATCAGCAAAATTGCTCTTACATGAAAAAGGATTTAAAGTCGTACTTGATTTAAGTTAATCAACACATGTATTTGGTTTTTTAATGAGTTTTTTTAATAAACTACCATGTGAAGCATTCGAAACAATTATAGTAGATGCCATCTACAATACCAACCAATTAAAATATGAACTTTATTCGATAATAGCAATATTAGATGGAACCGGATTCTCTATTTCATATTGTTTTATTGAATCTGAGAAAGGGCATGATATTTGTGCAGCTATAATCTCATGGTTTAAAGTTTTATATAAAAGTGGGCTTAAAGAAGTAAAAACAATCCTTTCTGATAAGGATTTTGTTCAGATTAGTAGTAGAATAGCCGTTTAGAAGGATGTGGAAATTCAACTTTGCAAGCGGCACTTAAAACGTGCAATTGAGCAAAAATTATCCTCAAAGTTTAATAATATTTCATTTAACTATAATGCTATTAATACATATCAACAATGCTCTATAATTGATTCTATCTGGAAACCAACCCAAAGTAATAATTTAGGTTTTAAAAAAGTTTTTTTAGAGGTATTATTGCAAAAAGAAATATTAGAATACGTTGATATACATTTTCATCATCATATACTTATTCCTACTGCTGATAAAGAGTTTGTGTCTAGTACTCTACAAAATCAAATCAAATTTTGAATTTGATCAAATATTTAAAATTATTTGATCAAATTATTTAAAATTTTAATCAAATAATTTCAAATATTTGAATCAAATTCAAAATTTGATTTGATTTTGCGGAGTACTATTTGTGTCAAGTTCAAATGAAATCTGGTATCAAGCAGTTAATGAAATTTTTCAATATTGTTATCAGCGCAACTTGTTTCATATATAGTGTTATTTGTGGTTAGAATAGTACTGGTGGGATTGTTGGTGCCTTTGGGCACTATCAGCTCACAAAAATAGATTAATTATTTGTACTACAATGATTATTGAGTCGTATTGATAAATCCTTAAACATGATTTTTTATACAAATTCAATTGTCCACGTCTTGATATTCTCTGTTATGTCATTACTAATCAAATGCTTCCAAAACTAATGCATCATTATAATTTTCTTGCTGCTGAAAGAATTAGACCATCTTGGTGAAAGATTTTGCAAATGAATGGAAAAGGCTTGCAAGCCGAGAAATTAAGAATTCAAACAAATATCTTACTGATCATACTTACTGGATTTGCTCATGCCCTATTAGTGTTCCAAAGTTCAGTTCAGTTCAATTTAGATTCAGGTTCAAGTTCAATTGAACCTGAACTAAACTTTAAATTTTGCAGATCTTTGAACC